GGATCTTTGGACCTTCCTCTTTTTTTCCCGACTGGCTGCGATCCCTTTTATGAATGAAATCGGACCAGGACCAGGACCAGGGACCAAAGAATAAGATTCAGAATGGATGCGAGAACGGTCAAGGGGTCGGGGGAACGGTCTCATCCTTGTCTTCATCTTGGCTGGCCGCTGTTGCTGCACCGGAAATTGAAATTTTAAAAGTTTTGACGTTTGGCTCGGCCGCTCCGCTTATTTATGCAAACAAATGCGAATGCGAATACACATTTAAATGCGAGCAACATTCGGACACGAGCCAGTCCGGTTTCCGACTAAAAAAGTGAAACAAAAAGGCCAAAACGAAATTAACAAAATATTAATTGGCTGACTGGTTGTCTGGCTGTCTGATGTGATTCGGTGCTCCGAGCCCCTGGTCCCCTCCATCTGTGGCATTTGTTTGGGATGCCTGCCCGATGTCGTTTTCCGTTTCCGTTCATCAATTTGCATAGAGCGATTAGTTCGGGCGGACGTCCATTACGAAAAACAGTTTATAGGTTTAGTCGGTTATTGAAGCAAGCAATACGGCCTATCTATTCCCAAAAGAAGTGCTCCACTGACTTGCTATCAGTCCCAAAACATCTATTTCGAGCCCTGTCACATACCTTTTAGCCAAATATCCCAATTGGGGCATTAGTTTCGTCAAGAATTTAAGCCAATTCCACTTCATTTGCAGCAAAAAAGACAACTCCAACCCCAAACCCACCCACACTGTCGATAGACAAACAAAAACTCGGATCCCACTCGGCGACTGGCAACCGCCCACGGCTGCCCTCCACGCCAGGGCTCACTGCAGGCACCCACAACGCCGTCTATTGATTGCAGATGCAGATCCATTCATCGCCGCTCATGGGGGACGCGAAATCCGAGACCCAGCCGGAGCAAAACCCAATGTACCATGGTCGCCAGAGATCAAATCGGAGAGTCGGAGTCGGCGGAACGAGAATCGTTATATTATGGGAGCAGTTGGCGGCGACCGGACTGGGAACTGAGTCACTGGCGATGCCCGCCGATTGATAAGGTGGCACATAAAAATCGGAGTGGGACTGCTGCTCCCGCCAATGAGCAGCACTTAAATAGATAAACCTTCCTCAATCGCTCAATTAGTCTGATGTTTTTCCAAACTTATAATCTATTCGATTACCTGGATAGGCCATCGTTATCAACCTATATCAACCCTAATCGTCATACAGTCACAGCCGCCCAGGAGAAATGAAAAAGGCAGGCATGTGAGGAGACTGGAAGGCTTATGTGTGGTCATCTTTTTGTTGGCGGGTAACTTTGTGGCGGAGGATATTCGAAATCCGGAGGAGCAACCGGCCGGGCAACGGGCATCGAGTATTTCGCACCCGCGCGGCGACAAAGATAAACAAAATGGCGCCCGAGCAGGGCCATTGGCCAAGTTATGAGGGACAAAGCCGGAATGCAAATGCAATATTCCTCCGCCTACAGCCCTCCACCTCGATCTGGTTCGGTCGGGTCGGAGCGGTGAGGTGCGTCTGCAACTGACATGATATACGCTTTGATGTCTCGTTTTTTTGATAAAGTACTCAATCTATAAACGCCAAGAGCAAAAAACCGAGAGCCGACTCCTCAGTCCTCAGTCGGAGTCCGGGGTCAATGCAAAAATATGGTATGGAATTGCCTGGTCCTGGTCCTGGTCCGGGTCCACTCGAACGAGGAAAAAAAAAGCCCAGCAAGCAAAAACTAAACGACACACGCACACACAACCAGATAAAGGCCAAAAACAACAAATCCAAAGGCAAAACCGAATTCAAAATCAGAGGAACAAGACAAAAATGGCGAGAGGCTGGCTTTAAAGGCAAAAACACTCCAATAACCCCCGAATGGCACTGCACACTGGACAGGGGCAGGGACTGGGACAGTGGACAGTGGACCGCGCAGAGTGGAGAGTGGACACTGCCAACTGCCAACCGAAAGCCAAATCAAAAAAACTAAAGACAAAGCGCGACTCTGCTTTTGGCCAATTCACGCAACGAGGTAGAAGAAAAATCGTTTCATCACCGACCTAAGCAAATGAATACCCACTTTTATTTGCACACCCTATTGACTATCTGCTTTAGACCCGTTTCAAAATTTGTAATGGACCCTTGTTGGATATTTTCCATATTTTCCTTAAGCCCCTGCCCCTCAATAAAACCAAGCCCTTTATGAAACGTATGATGCGTTTGGGGGACTAATGCTCCTGATTTTGGTCATACAGTAATGTAAATACATCAATCTGGGAAAATGTCTATAGTTAATATACTCCATTTAATTCTAGGGTATTAAAAGTTAAAATGAAAACAAGAAAGGGAAGCCAGCTTCGGGCGGAACCGAACTTGATATACTCTTGCTCTTGTCGGCTATAAGAGTCTATATACTTTGGCCCTATAGACAGAAGGGCGATCCTGATCAAGAGTATACATATGTACTTCATAGGATCGGAGGGGTACTTTTAACTGCGGTGCCCACCTTTGACCAAAATGGCAATACCCTCTGCAAGGGTATAAAAAAGCATAAATCATACGCAACGATGTTGCCGCACTCGACTACGTTGCCATTGCTCTACACTTCCTTGCGATTTATCCATTTTATAAATCCTTTTTCTGCCGGCCTTTTTATTTCCTTTTTTTGTGCCCTGGGCGGCTCTTGGCCTTTGGTTTTGCCTTTTTGGCCGGGAAGTGAGTACCGTGCCCTTTAAATCAAATCGATTCGCAAGCAAATTAAAACATTTCAAGATTTATACGCACCACTGTCAAAAAGTGCTCGAGTTCGTTTATCAACCGAGGGCCAGCGAAAAATTACCATAACGATTGCGAGGAACCTGCTTGAGATGGCCTATTTAGTGGAGTTGGACTGCCTCCCCCCACACACCCACCCAGGGGCAGGGGCAAGTGTTGCCTCCCCAAAGTCATTGCAAGTTTAAATTAACGTAAATAGATCGATTTAAATAAATAAAAAATAAAATGATTAAAACTTTGTTTTCGGAATGGGGTTGGCTTTCGCTGCTGCCAATGCCGATGCCGATGCTGCTGCTACTGCGCCGAGCCGCGGGAAAAATAATCTGTCTGCGTCGGCACTCGAAACTTTTGTGCGTGGGTCCTGGGGCGCCCAATCCTTGCCATCTCGCCGCGAAAAATGGACTAACTTTTATTATTTTCATGGCGAAAGTTAAAAACATTAAAAATGCGCGCTCTGTGCGTGTAGTTATGAAAATATTGTTGCACGAGAACATGGAGCAACTCCAAATGGAGTAAAATTTGAATTCCGAAAAAATCCAGAACTCAGATACTTCTCAGAGCAATAATAAATTTAAAAATGTAAAATGACTAGGGCATGAATTCGCCTGCAAGTAAGAAACTAATTAAAGTAAAAAAAAAAGAGGAGATCCAGCAAAAAATTAATCAACGCCTTAATTTACACGTTACTATCACACTAAAATGGATCCAGCACTGAGAATCCAAACTATGAAGAATTAAAATTAAAAAAATAAAAGTAGATCGGGAAAAAGAATCATCAACGCCTTTATTTACACGTTACTATTAAGCCACAATGCCAACCCGTAGTGCCAACCCGTAGTAAAAACCAAACTATGAAGAATTAAAATCAAAAAAAATAAAAGTAGATCGGGGAAAAAAATTATCAACGCATTTATTTACACGTTACTATTAAGCCACAATATGGCACCGCTAGTAAAAACCCAAACTAAGAAGTAAAATTAAACAAAAATAAAAGTAGATCGGGAAAAAATATTATCAACGCATTTATCAACACGTTACTATTAAGCCACAATATGGCACCTAGGGTTAAAATCCCAACTATGAGAAATTAAAATTAAAAAAATAAAAGTAGATCGGGAAAAAATATTATCAACGCCTTTATTTACACGTTACTATTAAGCCACAATATGGCACCGCTAGTAAAAACCCAAACTAAGAAGTAAAATTAAAAAAATAAAAGTAGATCGGGAAAAAGAATTATCAACGCCTTTATTTACACGTTACTATTAAGCCACAATATGGCACCGCTGGTAAAAACCCAAACTAAGAAGTAAAATTAAAAAAATAAAAGTAGATTGGGAAAAAGAATTATCAACGCCTTTATTTACACGTTTAAGCCACAATGCCAACCCGTAGTGCCAACCCGTAGTGCCAACCCGTAGTAAAAACCAAACTATGAAGCATTAAAATCAAAAAAAATAAAAGTAGATCGGGAAAAAATATTATCAACGCATTTATTTACACGTTACTATTAAGCCACAATATGGCACCTTTAGTAAAAACCCAAACTAAGAAGTAAAATTAAAAAAATAAAAGTAAATCGGGAAAAAATATTATCAACGCCTTTATTTACACGTTACTAATAAGCCACAATATGGAACCTAGGGTTAAAATCCCAAACTATGAAAAATTAAAATTAAAAAAATAACCAAAAGTCAGAATAATAAAAGAAAAATAAATATTAAATCAACCAGCAGAAGAAAAAGCAGAAGTAATAGAAGACTGCTCAGTAAAAATATAAACAAAAAAATAATTAAATAACAAGACCTTTGAAAAAAGACCCCCTCGGTCGTAGTCTGGGGACTTACTGAACATTTTGCCCAGAGGGTCTCGCTTTTATATCCAATTCGAAGCAAAGGCTACTTGTTTATCCTTTTACTTGGAAAAACTACAATTTCCTGGCCTACTGAAGTTTTCCAGTATAGAAACCATTCGACGAGACTCTGTTTACGTTATAAGCATGTACAATGTTACGATATTCGCGTGGTTCCGAAACGTGCTAACTTAACGAAGGCTCGTGTCTATTCAGCTAAGACACTCACCGCAAGAGCAGCTAAAAGTATGCGGTATGTGGGCTCATGCAAGAGCTTTAAATAACTTGGCCAAAACCGGTTTCACGCGTATATTTGTTTTCTTTTCTTTCTTCCCTTGTTTTTGTTTTTGTTTTTAGTACGTTCGCGCCGCTCAACGACGTTGGTTGCTTGTCGATCCAAAACAACGAATCTAACCGAAATAAAGTCCAAGACTCTGCCCTAATAATACTCAGATTTTTGTCAATTTTTTTTTTGTGTTCTTATTTGATTAAAGTGCGCTCTATCCTAGAGGATTCAGTGATCCTGAAAGTGAAACATCCCCAAAGAACTGCCAGAACTCGCAGGTAAGCCAACAAGTCTTCCGTCTTGGCCATCATTGGGCTTTCGATGAGGTCAATCACGATCCGATTCTGTTTATTTCGACACGTGAACGAGCTTTCTTCGAGTGCTAGTGTGGTGGTTGTGCCTGAATCTGTGTGTTTGGGTCACCCTCGAGATGAAAGTGCAGCTGGGGGCAGTGGGCCGGATGGAAGGTCACCGCGTGTGGGGAGAAACTATCAAGAACAGCAGGTGAAAAAAGGTTACCATGTGGCTCAGACCCCACCCCAGAATAGGGGCTCTCTTGGGCTTGGAGAACTTTTACAGCCCTCTTCTTAAGTGGCCGTACTCTGAGAGTGAGAATCATCGGCTAGAAAGGCCTATGCCACTGGCCTGAATTCGGGACTAACTGTTCGTCGAACCCAGAACCCAGAGGTGCCGCGCTGCCGTGTTGCAGAAGCGGAAAATGTTGGGAAGTAGAAAGATATCGTCGTCATCGTGAAGCGCACATTAGGTTTGGTCTATTAAACGTATGTGGTGCTCACCGCCGAGCTACCAAGCTACCGAGCTCTGGAGAACATCTGATGTGTGTGCTGGGGTAATTAAAGAGACAACATCTGCAGAATGCTGCGGAGATCTTTTATTTATGACTTGACCATTTACCCAGGCCCCGGACCGAGCTGGAGTCTGAGCCTGGCCAAAAGTATTTTGCACTGCGGCTGCGTTGGTCCACAAATTCATAAACAACGCTGGATTCAGGTTTGCATGGCTCTGCTGGCGGGGGCTGGAGGAGCCGAGCCGTCGGTCCCCGCAATCAAGATGTTGGCTAGGAAAATTCTTGCCGTGCCGAGTCTCCAGCTTCCCATCCGCCAAGCCTCACTGGCATACTCTGTAACAGAGATGTTGCTTCTCAGGGGTATATGGGCTCTGGGGCCATCCTGGCAGATCACCTCCTGTCATCATATGCTATCCCTTTCAAGACATCCCTATTAAAGCCTTCTTTGGGGAGGATGAGCATGCAAAGTAAAATCCTCAGAAGGGTACCATCGCATTCGAAGACCCCCAGACCTCGTTTAGTTTTCATTTTCGTTATTTATTTTTATCTGCATTTTTCCTTCGGCCGAGTCGAAACGAGTTTTCCAACATCCAAAGCTTTTCTTCAGCTAGCCAGGCTCAGGCTCGGGCTGAGACTCGAACTGGTACTCGTGCACCCATGAGATCATATCATCTGGTGGCTGTCTTTTCGCTTCGCTGCCATCGCCTGAAATTTAATGCCACTCTGGAAATTGCAGTTGCTGCATATGCATTTCCATTACACATTATATTATTATTTTCCAGATCGAGCAATTGCACACGTATGAAGACGAATGTCAGGTAAATCATTCGGTCAACTGACTCTGACTCTGGCCCGATCTTGCCACTCAAGCCGATCAGAGGCTGTCTTGGCGCAGGCGGGGATTAAAGTAATTCGAATCACCCGATCAGGGAGCCCAGACTTTGATAAACGATCTATGGGTCCTTGACTTTGTGGGGCAGAGATTTACGATCCATTACTTCGCTCGAAAGAGACTTGCCACAAAGCCATTGCTACAAAGTACCACATGAATCACATGAATTTTGATTTCTTTCTGCCTTGTCTTGGGCTTATTGACTTCCTTTGTCCGGCACTCTTTAGGAAATCAATTGTTTCCTTTTCTTACTTCCCTATTTCCATATTTGTGTTTACAGTTAACAATCAAAAAGCGAAAACAAAGCAAACGAAGAGAAGCCAAGAGAGCCAAGCAGCTTTAAAGACTGCTGCTTCTTATGAAGAGCCGTAGAATGGCCACAAAATCATCAAGTATTTGCAACAAAAGGCTGTTATTTGGACTCCCTCCGACGACCCCTGTTCGTGGCGCTTCTCAGGCACCTTAATTAATTGACCCTGTCCACCGTTGGTGCCGGAGTAGTCTTCTCTTGTGCGTGAGCGTCATCTTTTGGGTGGCTCTTCGGGATTCTTTTCACTTTTTCTCGAGAGCTGCCCCGAGTGTCGGAGTTGCGAGTGTCGAGAGTGTGAAATTCCGACAATGGCACCTGCAGCTGAAAAATCAGAAACAGCAAAAGCCCCACAGCCCCACACTCGGGCGTGAGTGACAGCTGGCTGGGCGAGAAGAGGGCCAGGCAGAAGAGCAGCAGATACGAGTTGGAGGCAGGGCAGGGACAGGGGCAGGGGCCGGGGCGGGAGCCGACAAAGGCAAATGCATTGTTCGATTTAACTTTCACTGATTGCCCGTTGACAATGCCGTGTGGCAGACATTGTGATGCTGCTTGAGTATTCGTTAGTGTGCTGCAAGGTGTAGGTCGCAGCACATCCCATACAGATCCATACAGACACAGACTGAGGCACATCAGACACACACCGATATGTAGGTCTCGGCCCACTAATGATTAGCAAGTACGCCGGCAGGCAGTAGTGCGAAATTCCATTTACTTTCTATATGGAAATCCATTTGCAGTGCTAAAAATGGCAAGAAGTACCAATACCCATTCGCGGCAGAGGCAGAGGAGGAGGAGGAGGGGCGATGAATAAAAATTAAAATAAATCTCGGGAGCTTAGAAAGTTTACACCCAGAGTGGCGGTTGAAAAACAAAAAAAAAAACAAGAAAAGGTAACACGATCATTCTGCAGAGGCGACAACTAATTTGAGGAATTATTTTTTATGGCGTGCGGAAGTTTTGGCGGCCTCGATTCGGGCCTTTTCTTCTTGTCTTGTTGTTTGCTAATTAAATGATTGTTTTTTCCCCCGGTCGGGCCATGCCCTAGCTTCTGAGATTTGAATTTGACGGCAGGGGAACAAGATCGAGATAATCAGGCGGGCTGGGCATGCGAGAGATGACTGTTTCGCATTTAAAATGCTAATGGGGGAGAAAATGATGAAAAGATGAAAACAGTTCTGCGAAGTGGTGATGGATAGGCTATCCAAACAGTCTCTATTAATTCCATATTGATGGACAGCTGCATCTATTAGCTGCCTCTTGGTTGTCTTTGGAGTTTGGGCAATAAATTGCCTGGCATGCGGAGATGTCCGGCAAAGTACCCATGTTGCACAGCAACCCGACAACATATGCAAATTCATCATTTAAGCGATCGGCTCTCGGTTTGTCCAACAGGTGTTCAACATTATCGGACAGTAATCATAGGTTTTCCGCAGCAGTTGCACATGCAATGTTGACAGTTTATGTTTTAATACCCGCCTTTTAATCCTCGTCCAGGGTAATGGCTCTGCAGAGCCCCCCAGAGTCGCAGCTCTGTTTTCTAAGCTGGAAAAACTCTTGGAGCTTGACCCCCTGCCTGCTTCTTTTTAGCGGAGATGAGGGCTCTCAATCATGAACTTTTTGTAGCTCGGTTTCGGTTTCTGTTGCTGTTTCTGTTTGCTTTCATAACAAATCTAATTTATTGAAGGTGAACGGAAATGTGCGCTAATTTTTCAATGATTAATGATGTCTTTGCCGGTGCGGCGCTGTGCAGGCCGAAATGTGAATTACTTTAATTAATTAAATGCCAGCAAATGCCAGCCGTAGCAGCAACAACCCCATCGAGAGCGAGTCGTAACGATTTCAAGTTTCTTGACCTTCACGGCGTGGTTTTCTTTTTAGCCAACTAGCCCCGACGCAAAAAAAAAAAGCAACCGACAAACCAAACACAAACATTAACGGCTGCAGAGGCAACAGCAACCGATTCATAACTCACGACTTTCGCGACAATTTTCACCTATAACTCATCCAAATGATAACGAAAACCCGCCGAAAACAAAAACCAACTCGCGACCAGTTTGCGATACCCTCCAGGGGGCGATCACTGTACAGAGGACAGGGGCAGAGGCATTGACAGCTCCAAGCGATCGCTGGCAAGCGGAATACGAGAAAAACTAGACGGGAAGACTCCATATGGTGGGTGGATGTGGCAGGTTAGCTGGTAAAACATCAACACACTGGGCGTATGCGTGATATTTCAAAGGCCTTCGTCACATAAAAAACGGCATGAAAGGTAGCACTTGAGCTTGGAAAAGTCCAAAGAATACCGACAATACCCGTAAAACCACCTGTGGGACCACCCCAGTCGATGACGTTGAACTCCTTGCCGCCAGAAAGCGAAAACCTAGTGAGGCCTTTTCACTTTTATTCGTGTTTCGCGCCGAAAATCGATTGTTAATTTGCATTTAATTTATTTCGGATGCCCGTCCCGGGCTCGGGAAGGAGAAAATCAAAAAGTATTGGCCATAAAACTGTCCGGAGGCCGCTGTCGAGGACAAGTCCCTGTTTCAGGTGCTCGCCAGCTCAGGCGGCTCGGGTGCTGAGCTCCTCAGGTGCTCGGCTGCTCAGGTGCCCCCCATAAATTGTCCGTGGCTACCGTTGCCGCTGGGCAGCACCGTCTCGCCTTCTCTGCCTCCTCCATCACTCTCTCCTGGAGCCTCCTTTTCTCCATGCACTTGAAAAAATGTGACAAGTTTCCACATTGGTACTTTTAAAGAAAATACTTCCTAGCTAGATCTGGAAACTGTACTAAAAACCACAAGATGGATTTGTTAATCCGAAGATGTATAATTAAAAGCTTTGTTTCGTCTGCAGCGAAGTTTCTGGCACATCGAATCGATTTGGGCTGCGATTTTTCAACATTTGTGGCTTGGGGTTTGGGCCATGCCTCGCTCTCTCGTTAGGAGAAAGGCGATGCTGATCAGTCAGACAAACCAGTAAAGAAACAACAAGCCCCACAACACCACACACACACACACCACAGCGCGCAGTTCACTTTCTAATGATCCGAGCTCGTATCCAAAACCCAAAACCGAAAACTGAAAACCAAAAACTTAAAAAACCAAACACCGAATCGTAAAATCCCGAATATAAAAAATATGGCCAGGCCACAAAAATCTGTTTCTCATTTGCAATAATTTTTGGAGTTTGACGCCAGAGGCGCCACCGCAAAACCAACAAAAAGGCTGCATTCAAACGCGTCCTGTCATAAAGTTGCAAAATTTATTGGCGA